TTCTTCATTGTGTGTGATTCTTCATGAATGTGATTTTTAATGAGTGTGATTCTTCATTGTGTGTGATTCTTCAATGAGTGTGATTTTTAATGAGTGTGATTTTTTAATGCTACCTGGCTCTGACCGGCTGTGGATCTGTTCAGCGCTCCGGCTCGCCTCAGTAGAACCGCCGGCCTCCGGGCCGCCAGCCTGGTGATGACCCCCTGACCTCTCCGCCGACCCGCAGGGATCGGAACCCTCTTGTTCCTCAGCACCGCCGCTCCTCCCCGGGGTCCTCCGCCGCCTGGTGAGATCAGCATTTACCGACCGTTTAGTGCCAGTTACCGGGAGCTGGTGGCCCCAGCAGACCGGCTTTAGCTCCCACCTGTCCGGGCTGCTGCTCCTTTCTTCCTGAACGGCCTGTGGCTCCCGTTGGCTTGTCTTCTTCCCATCTGTCTCTCTTTGTTATTTAAGCGAATTATGTCATCTATCGAAATGAGAAAGCATTGTTGTATTCTCACAGGTGCCAGATCCACCGGCTGATGCCAGTTAGCAGTGACTAGCGAATGTTACCTAAAGACATGTCGACTTTATCCGGAGCGGCCGCCATTTTCCTTCGCCCGTTATTTTATCAGCCGAATAACGAGACGCGCTGTTCGGATGAACGAGCAGTCAGCGGAAGGTTCTACTTCCAGAGCTCCGCCACCAGCTGCTCAACCATCGCCTCCTCCTTTCATGAAAAAACAAAACATCCTTTCTCCTTCTTTTAATGGCGGTTGGCAAACAACTGAAAGTAGCACTACCGCCACCAACTGGTAAGGAGGAGGTAATAACATTTGCTCGCTTAAATTTTCCTTGATAAACTTTAAAAAAATAAAAAAAATAAAAAGTTGCTTTAGGAGTAGTTTTACTACACCATTCTTGTTACTGTTACTCAAGTAGTATTATCAGGATTTTTCGGCACTTTTATTTAGAAAAAGAACCCAACAAAAAAAGCAAACCTGAATGTTGGAACTGTAACTACAGTCATATGTTTACATCACTTTTTCCATCACTTTTTGAATCTCTTTTTATTAAACACAAAGCAAAACTTAGTTACATTCTTGGATCAAGATACGTTTTTTTTTTAAAAAAACATTACAAATTACACCTCCACCTCTTGAATTACTGTGCGTCTAGTCTACCCACAAGATCAAAAAGTTTAAAAAAAATACATTAGTGAGTCATTTATATACACATATACATCTTAGACCAAAAAACAAAGCACAAAAAAAATCACAATATTTTTTATCACTCTTGCTTACCTTTATCAAGGCTGCACTTTAATAAAAGAAATAGTCTAGAGAGCTGCACTTAACGAAATTTCTTTTTGTTTACACTTGTGTGTACAAAATGACAAAATAAAATCTGTTTAAGTCTAAGTCTATACAATGTTTGGCTTCTCTACTCACTGTACTGAAAACCAGCACAATTAAACCTAAAATACAACAGACAGGCGGACAAGCTTAAAATTACTATTCACTTTTATATACAATATTTTCTTTTTTTTATTGTTACTTTTATCTACGGAGACAATCTATGTAATGTAGGTCAAACTAAAAAACAGTAACAAAGTTTATGTCGTCAGTTTTCTGTTATACATACTTTAATTACTCTAATAAATTATGGTTTCATGTGTAATATTCTGAGATTAAAGTCAGAATTCTGACTTTAATCTCAGGCACTAATTCCATCATTTTCCACCAAGGAGTTACTGGCCCTCCCAATAAACAGATCTTTGTCAGTGAAGCTGAGTGCTCCCACATCTCTTCCTTCCTTCATGGTGCCCATCTATGTTAAGATCTAAAAGAGAGTAAAGTTAGAATTCTGAGATTAAAGTCCGAATTCTGAGATTAAATTCGAAATTTTGAGAAAAAAGTCAGAATTCCAAAATTAAATTAGGAATTGTGAGAAAATGTCAGAATTCTGAGATTAAATTCCGAATTCTGAGAAAAAAAGTCAGAATTCTGAGATTAAATTCAAAATTCTGAGAAAAAAGTCAGAATTCTGAGAAAAAAGTCAGAATTCTAATATTAAATTAGGAATTCTGAGAAAAAAAGTCAGAATTCTGAGATTAAATTCAAAATTCTGAGAAAAAAGTCAGAATTCTGAGAAAAAAGTCAGAATTCGAATATTAAATTAGGAATTCTGAGAAAAAAGTCAGAATTCTGAGATTAAATTCGAAATTTTGAGAAAAAAGTCAGAATTCCAAAATTAAATTAGGAATTGTGAGAAAATGTCAGAATTCTGTGATTAAATTCCGAATTCTAAGAAAAAAAGTCAGAATTCTGAGATGAAAGTCAGAATTGTGAGAAAAAAGTCAGAGTTCTGAGAAAAAAGTCAGAATTCTGAGAAAAAAGTCAGAATTCTGAGAA